TGTATTTAATTTCTTGTAAAAATAAAGTATGTATCTATAAATGATATATATATTTAGCCAGTACTTATAGAGTATGTTTACAAGTCCAAAAAGGCACTTATATCCCTTCAGTTAAATATGTTTCTGTTACGAGTAATAACAATGTATACTCTATGCACTTTCATTTCAATTTAAAATTAATTTTTTTAAATAACAATATTTTTTATTCACTTAACAATACAACAACAAGAACTAAGTATCATTTATTTTTTTTAATTATTTTTTAGAACGGCAGCTGATTCCCAATAACTTTTCAATTTAAGTCCGCATTAGATGATGTATATGGTACCTTTACTATCTCATAGGTAACAAACCCTGTTGACTTTAAACCTGCCTTTACAATATTAATGAACTTCTTTTTAGATGACAAAAACTATCATCACTGACGAAATTATCAAAAAAGTTTAAAAAGTCGAATAAGTTAAATGATAGTCGCATAAAAATCAAAAACCCTTTCTGTGACTTTGGAGCAAAATCGTTTATTATAATAAGTTTAAATAAAGCGAAAAACCAAAACTTCTGCAAGAAGGTCATGTCTGTGGTACCAAGTGTGAGAAAATCATTGCTACTGGAAAAGCAAATTTAAACCTAAGCTGTTAATTGACTGGTTCAAAAAGAATCGCACTGTAAATACTGCATACTACTGCCATTGACCGACGATAAATCAAATGTGATTGACAGACGCTTGTCAATGAGATATCACAAAGTTAATATTGTCTTTAATGTTTCCTTTCATACTTAACAGAAATTTAAAAAAAAATTAAAATCACCTTTTCATCCATTTGTGATATATTTTGTTGGCCTTTATCACGTAAAATAAGTGTTAGTTTGCCATATACCCTGATTCTCAACATTTGTGGAGTACCTGTAACAACTTTAGTGAATTTATAATTTTTCACAAATTATTATTATGGTGCCATGTCATCAATATTTCACGAATTTGATAGTTGGGGTTTTTAAAGAATACTGAAGTACAAAAAGCAACAATGTAAATGCAAAAACTATGTATGCATTTGCATATGTATGTTTGCATGTATGCATACAAAATTGAATTATCGCTTTATTTTAAATAAATATTATTTTTCTGTTTGTACTATGATATCCAATTGAAAAATTTTAATAAAAATAATGTTTTAAGTTTTTTCTGTAATATATGGGCAAACTATAGGAGTATTTATGTTGATTCTTAAAAAAATAAATTTATTTAACTTCATTGCATTGGTTCTATTACTTGGATTACCTATAAAAATAGTAATATATATCAAACACTTCAAGAATATATGGATATTTTGCAATAAAAGTTTAGATTAAGAGCATAAAACAAGCAGATCTGAATTAACAATGGATTACATTCTCTATATCGTTTCGTTATACTCTATTTATCGCCAGATATCTACAGTGCATACGAGGGAAAGTTGATGGAAATTTGATGTATTTTTTTAACACATATTTTTTAAAGCAATTAATATCACATTAACATAAGCAAATATCAATTTTTTTATTGATATTTATTATTTTGAAATTTAAATAAAAAAGTCGAAAAATAATATAACTTGGTTATCTTTGCTAACCTTAAAAAAAAAATATTTACTGTATGTAAAAGCATAAATAATTGGACTTTAGCATTTTTACATGCAGAAATTATTTTATATATTTTTATTTCAATTTTTTTCGAAACAATATTTTCCAATATTTTCCAATAATATTTATATTTAAAAAAAGTATCTCACATATGGCATTGTTAGGGCCACATTTTATGATAGCAAAAAACTGCAAATCTATTATTTTTATAGTTTTGAGAACAAAATGTTAAAGGTGAGTTATTTTATTTAATAATTTTAACTAAATGCTTTTAAATGACAAAGTTTTTATTTATGTTCATGTTGCATAAATGTAGTAATTAATATAGGTTTTTTTTTGATGTAGGTAATGGATATAGATTTTTTAACATCAATTTACATCGTACTTATATAAAAGCCATTTAATTGGAGTTTCCATAGAAGTGATGAAATCAGAATATTTTTACAATAGATTTTAAAAAATGGCAACTTTTCTCTTAATATGTTTTATGTATATAAATGTTTTAAATATATATATATAACTAATTAGTAATACATATTACAAGTATATTTTTAATATTTCAAAAGCTTCACAAAAATAGGTTCTAGGCGAGACTCGCATTCCAATAACATCATCATAGTTTTGGGACACTGATTCTTTTTATATTATTGTAAGAGTTTAATTTATTTTATCAAAAAATAACATAAAATAGATAGAAATCTACATGTGATATAGGTATATGAATTCATATATTCTAACGATATACTTTGAATTTATATGGAAGTCTCCACATAAACTGCATGTAATACTTATGAACAAATAGAATAAATTCTTTCCATGGCTTAAAGTAATGAATTCCAAATAAATTTTGGGCAATGTATTTATATAACATATTTATAAAATATTTGATATTTTAGAAAAATATGAAAACATCTTCTTTAGCAGAATATAATGAATAGTATATCGAAAATAATTACAACAGCTAGATAAGAGTTATAAGAGAACACTGTTAGCCAATACAGAAAGTAACTCTAACACCTACACCTACTTTAATCGCACAGCGAGAAAATGAGAGAAATTAGCACAACAGGTTATAGAATTTAAAATGAACTCAAGTGGTGGTCTTTCAAAGGAAAGACCGTCTACTCGATGGGTGGATGAACTACAATTATACCTCAAAAAAACGGTTAGTAAAGCAACAAGCACTGTCGGATTTAGCAGATTACTGCACTGCAAGAAATAATATTCATTTGTAATACAGCCACAGGTATATGTCAAAAGCAGGGCTTCGAACCGGAATTTTTTCCCTTCCGGTTTCCGTTCCGGTTCAAAACAAAAAATATGTATCGGTTCGGCTCCGGTTTTTCTATAACAAAAAATTCGGACTTTTTCGGTTTTCGGTTCGGTTTCGGTTCCGGATCCGGTTCGAAGTCTTGGTCAAAACATTTGATTGAAAGGATAAGACGATATATTTTTAAAACCATTTTCAAAGAAATTCGTAGTTAATATTTGTTTAACAATCATTTTCGATTTTGTTATGTATTACTAAGACAAACTGCAGCACAAAATAATAATTAATTGTCAATAATTTATTATTAATATAATATATAATTAAAATATTAATCTAAATATAATTTTAACAGTCATAAGAGTTCATAATTTTAGGAATTATTAAGTTTTAATGAATAAACATTATACGTAGTTTGAAATAATAAAAAAAATTTTTAAAAATTAATTAGCGTATATTGTAGACTATCTTTTAATTACTTCAATCACAAGATGGCCCCATACCACAAAGAATATGTCACCTCTACCTACTTAATATATCTAATATACCTACCATATGAATTAATTACAAAGATTTGTCAATTGATAATGTTATTAAAAGTCTAAATACATCTTAAGTTAATCAAACTTTATTAAAGTCATTAGTTAGTTTATATGGTAGTATTTTATAAAATAGATAAAACTGCTTTTGTTTCTAGAAATTTTAACTAACTTTTCTTATTGGCAAATTTTACAAAATAAATAAGCAACATATTTACACACATGCTTCCCTTACTACAATATACATACTACATACTTTCCTATTTTGTAAAAAGTTATTTTATTTGAAGTTTTTGCAATTTTGACTGCCAAGGACCAAAAATCAATCTCTAAATGAGCCACATACCTATCTTTAAGTTACAAACTGTAATCAAAAGTTTGTACAAAATTATTATTTTGGTAGACTTGCTCGTCTACTAATGTAACTCAACATAATGTGAAGTCAATAATTTGAAAGCAGACTAAAGGACTCTACATTGCAACAAAGTCATAAAGGTTCAACTGAGGTAGTAAAATAATCAAAAAAAAAATACTATTTACTGTTGCTGTTTATCTGGACATAGTAAAAGCGTAAGGATTACATGCTTCCTTGTTGAACTGAAACAAATGCATTTAGTTGATGTGAATGACTGTTTTACTCCCAATTATCCTTAAACTAAAATGCAGATGGAAAAGTTTCTATCAAAATAGATTAAATATCTGACTCATGAAAAATATAGAAAAATATTTCTCAATTTCTATTGTTTACACAATTATAAAAGTAAAAATTAAAGACAACGAACAAATCTACAATTTAATTCATCTAGCAATATTTTAAAAATATATTTTATTATTTTTATAAGTATTATTTCTATTTATTTTTAAATTTTTATTTAAAAAAAACAAATCCTTATCTTTAAGAAAGTATATTTTATATTTAAGAAAATATTTTTTATCTTTACAAAACTATTTTTTATTTTTATAAAAATATTTTTTATTTTTAAAAAAACAATTTTTTATCTTTTATATTTAAAAAAGTGGATTTTATATTTAAAAATATATATATTATTTTTATAAAAATATTTTTTATATTTAAAAAAATATTATTTACTTTTATAAAAATATTTTTATTTTTATAAAAATTTTTTTTATTGTTATAAAAATATTATTTATTTTTATAAAAATATTATTTATTTTTATAAAAATATTATTTATTTTTATAAAAATATTATTTATTTTTATAAAAATATTATTTATTTTTATAAAAGTATTATTTATTTTTATAAAAATATTAAAAATATAAAAATATTTTATATTTTTATTAAAAAATTTTTATTTTAAAAAAATATTTTTTATTGTTATTAAAATATTATTTATTTTCATAAAAATATTTTTTATTTTTATAAAAATATTTCTTGTTTTTATAAAAATATATTTTGTTTTTAAATTACCCTAATTTTTTAAATTTCATATGATATATGTTTTTTTGCTGCTTTCAAAATGAACAATATTTAACACTCAACAGTTGAAAAAAAAAGAGATTCAAAATAAAATATGAAAAATTTTAAAAATCACAAATCATTTTTGAAAATTACCTCGTTATCTATGGCCACAGACAGTGCATGAAAATGGCAACGATATGCCATAAAATTGTGAATCTATTATATTTGGCAGTCCGCCAAAACAATTTATGCCGTAGAGACAATAAAAAATCGCTGAATACAAAGCTCGAGCTCAACTGGCATATGAGCAAAATCGCTGTAGAAACATACTGGACTGCACATATATTTAACTACGAATTATTTATATTGAGTTGTCAAAGGTTGTGCGATTTAGGAAAAAAAATGTATTTTAGATAACTACGAAGTGCTCGTTGCACGAATTGCGCCTAAAAACACACTAACACTTGCATTTTTAAAATATGCAAATTCAGTCAAAAAAATGTACAAATTTATTTTCAAATTAAATTAATGTGGCATACTTTCAGCCGCACAACAATAGAGAATATTCTCATATAATTTATATGCTTTGAAGGGAAATAAGTAACTTTTTGCCAAAAGCGAAATTTATAAAAATTACACTCTGCACTGCATAAATTTTTTATGAAAATGTGTAAATGTGTTTGTTACTTTTGTGCGGTTGCCATTTTTGGCGCTTTCAGTTTCTGTTATTTTCCAGACACTTTTTTTCTTGTAATTTTTTTTATTTTCTAAATGCCGCAATTTTATCGTTGCTTGATAATCGCTAAACACATTTTTCACTTTGAATTCAATTTTGATGGTTTTTTTTTATATTTTTGACTTTTTTACACGTTTTTCACTCAATAAATTTTCATACTCAAGTCCATTAAAATTTCCATTTTTACCTTTTTCACACGATTTACATTTTTTTTGGTTGTTGCTGTTGTTGTTGTTGCTGCGAGGTTGGGCAATGGTACGCAAACAAAGAACCAGAAATAAAAAACTTCAACAAGAAAATAATGAAATGGAAAAGCGCCTAAAATGATGCTATGGTTTTTTACGGTTCGACCGTCTTTTTTGCTTTCTTTTGTAAATGAAATTTCACACCTTTTACAGTTGAAATGTAGCCACTTTATTTTTGGTTTATTTATGCAAGCTTTCACTTTGCATGGCTATTATTTTATTAACTTGTTTGGTCTTCGCATTATTTTCCTTTCACACTTTTTAATTTAAATTCAAAAACAATTTATGTTAAAATGTTTTAAGACTTTTAAGCTTAGTTATGTATACGAATGAATACTATAGTTGAGGTTTGCAAACCTTTTATTCAATTTAGTCAAAATTTTGTTACTTGTATTGCTTATGTGACATAATAAAATTCAAGCGAAAATCTGTCAGGTATGCGTAAGTTGATGGCAAACATCCGTTTTATCCGTGAAATATGTGTTTTCGTCACATTTTTATATTTACATGCCAAGCCGTAAAAAAGGTCAGTACTATCATTAAAACACCAGCACGAAAAACCAAACACAACCGAAAAATATCAAAGTCTACTGCGCTCAAATGTCGAACGACAAATAAATGTGTAACATAGTTTTAGGCAGAAAATACCGAAAGCACATATAGATGCACATAAGCAACAAACATGTGTTTATGTGTGTTCGTTTATTTGTGTGTTTGTAGCTCAGTGTATTGAATATGTGCCCATTTATCCCTTTTTCACAACAGATACACTTTTATATGCACGGATATTGCTTTCCTCCTACTACAACTTTAATGATATTAAATTCCGAAATAGTCCAAAACACACAAAATACAACAAAATTATTTCTTTTTTTATTATTTGTACTTTTTTTCTAAACGAACATTAAAACTTTTCCGCTAAACACGTCCAAACACTTCGAAATACCGGCTATGACTGAAAATCCAAAATCATTTTCAACATTTTGTATCATCTTCAATGACTTTGACGCAGTCAACATAAACGTCGGCATCGGCTGCGCAGTCACCACGTAACAATAACAACAACTACCGTCACGTTAAACACTGTCCACATTGTGCTGTTATAGCAACCTGCTGCTGGCAGTGACTGTAACTGTTGCAAGTAAATAAAGCGTAAATATTATGTGCCACCCACCAGCCGCAACCCACAACAGACCTTGCTTCGCTCTCTTACAAACCAAAGCCACGTGCAAATTTCTCTTAATTTCATTGTATCCATGTTGTTGTTTTTGTTAGACAATTTACTCTTTACTGCCGTCTATCTGTCTGCCTGCTGCAATATTTTGCTTGTGAATGCTCCGTAAATGCTGCTATGCTTTTCATGACTTTCGTGCGCTGCGTTGTTGTGTGCAACAGTCGGAAACTATGCAGGAATGCTGGAAACTTAAGCAGGATTTTATGCCGGGATTTTGTTCGTAATGTTGGGCTCCTGATACCAGAGTTGCTGAAAATATCGATGATTTCGTATCTGTGACCAGTGGTAGTGGTGAGTGTGTTAGTATTTGTAATTCGAATTATCGAATTTGCAGTTATGTTGCACTTTATTTATTTACTTCAGTTCTTCAGTTGTGTCCTATGTGTGCACTCGGTGCATATGTGTTGTTGATTAGTTCCCTCGGGTTTATTGATAAATTAAACCATTTTCAATGCATTTGAACTGCGACTTTACTTGTTTTCGAAAAATAATAAAATTTTATTTCTCATGTACAAAGATTCGTTTGGTTTGAGTTGGCATATGTTCCAATGGAATGGCAATTTGCCAATTTCAAAACTGATAAAGGCAGTCTTAAAATTGCTTCAAACTCATTTCATATTTATGCTGCATTTATCACAACTGTTTGTAACTGATGTTGGAAAATATTATTAATTACGAAGTAATAAATTACAGTAGTTTAGCATAAATAAATTAATTTATTCATATTATAAAAAAAAATATTTTGAGTTTTAAATATATACATACGAATATAAATATATATGTATACATATATTCACAGTTTTCGTAAAACTGAAGGGTACTTATCTGTAAAAACATTTATTTTCGAATATAAGACTGTATTTCACAATAATCTTTAATTTGGAATAACATGTTATTACTATTAATTATTTTTAAACCTTATAAATCAAAAATATATAAGTCGGGTTAGGTTATACAGGCGATAGAGATGCACTTATTCTTATTGGCACATTGCTTTACCGTATAAGGGAAAACTCACAGGTTTAACAACCACCTTGAACTTTTGCAAAGTTTAAGATGCTATTTAATAGGAGGTCTTGAAGTTGGTTGAGATCCTCAAAAAAGGATATCCGTAAAAAAGTTAAGTGCCTGGACAAAAACAAAGCAGATGTTAGGCATTTTCATCATACTATCCACAACTGCGAAATGACTCTATTGAAAATTTCTCGAAATAAAATTTTTTGTCATATATATGAGATGTAATATTTGCTTGTAGAACATCTTTTATTTAAATAATTGAATCAAATACTAATTATTAGTAATAAAAATTAGGGCATAATTCAGTATGTTATCTGTCTTGGCACAACCGTAACAAGTCAAACGAAGAATTACTATTGCCAATAGTTGCTCAAGTTGGGGTCAAGAGCAATTAAGATGTAAAGCTCTCTCACGACGAACAAAACATACGTTCTAAAGTTCGCTCCTCCTACCTGTGGTTCTGTATGACGCAGAAACAGTTACGTACAGAATAATGAAGCACCACTGGGAATTTTTGAAAAAATAATTCTTCCTAAGATCTTTGGCCATCTACGAATTGGCAACAACTACCGCATCCGAATGAACCACAAGATATAGGAAGTTTATCAAATCATTGATATAATACAGTAAATGAATACCTAGCGGCTTCGTTGGCTTGGTCATGTCGTGAGAATGGATAACGATACTGCAGCGAAAAATGTATTTTAAACTGCAGTTAGAAGAAGAAGACATAGAGGTAGACTGTGTCTCCAATGGAATGATCAGGATAAGTTAGCACGTAATGTACGAGAAATGCTTCGTCAGACTAAAAATCGATAACGAGTATCGATTTTAGTAAAGTAAATTAGTTAAGTAAATAATAGTTAATAATACTAATAATATTTCATGAAACTTATACGAACCCTAAACTTACATGGATTTTTCTGGGGCACGCTGAAATCCTAGATAATGAGGCAACAGACAAACTCGCAATGATGATAGACCCAGAACCGGTCTAAGCAAAGGAACTCTATTCCTTTTTATAAACGGCAGGGGAAAAGGAAACGGAACTATATTGGGAAGCGTTTGTCATAATCTAAAGTGTTTTAAGGGACTCCCAACTTAAAATGATTTAAAGATTGCATAGGACTGACAAAGAATAACTTAGGAATTATTATGAAAATACTAACCTGTGATTGCGAATTGAATAATCGCCTAAAAAAGTTAGGAATTCTAACTCGGACTGCTGATACTGTGGGGAAGAGAGAGAAAGTATTCCCGGCACAGTTCCACAAGCAGAAAAACACCTAAGAGGACATTTCATGGATCATTGGTAATAAAGGCTGGGAAAGATAGGCTCTATACTGTCTTTCCTTGAAGGAATCAAACTTGAAGAAGCACTCTAATTCGACTAAGGGCCACAATAGATGTTTCAGTTCGCAGTGCACTATCCAATTAATAATAATAGTTCTTACAAATTGCAAAAAAAGAGAAAAACAGAAATAGAACTCAATTGACGTTATTTGAATCTAACGGACCTATCTAAAATAAAGTCCAAATCAATCTTATTGTTATTCATATTAGGTGAGCGAAGAAAATTTTATATAAAAATTGGTTAAGGCACTTGAATTACTTTTCTTCACTTAAATTCTATAAAAAGTTTGATGTTTACAGTCAAATATCTTAAGTTTTCAGTGATGTTATTTGCAATAGCAAATTTTGTGTTTTTCAATAAGGAAAATATTAAAGAAAATTTTGAATATATTGTCAAAGAAACAAAGGAATACTTCATCCAACAGAGCAGATATAATTTGATTAAAAACCTCGTTCCTTTTTATCTCACATTCTATTTATTTTACAAGAATTTCTCTTATGAAATTTACTAACTCTACAACAGAAGCTACAATGCACACAAATAATTGTCACATAAAAATTCTGTTGAATGCGTGCACTTCAAGTGAATCATGTGCAACACATGGAGCATCAACAACAGTTGGAGAAGCCAACACACAGAACACAACAATGGAACTCAATTGGCGTTGTTTGGATGTGTCAGAAAGCCAAGCTTAAGCTGACAGATTTTTGGGAAACGTTTATGAACTGTCAAAATGTCAGCAAACATTACAGGACAACAATGTCAACATGAAAGTTATTCATAAAAAATTCATAAAGTCAAAAATATCCAAATATTCAGCAAATAAAATACTCAAAATATGGTCAACAACAGACAATGCAGAGCCCATAGAACCAAATGGGTACAGATAAGTT